TACTACTACTACTACTACTACTACTATCACTACTACTACTACTACTACTACTACCATTACTACCACTACTACCACCACTACTACCACCACTACTACTACTACTACTACTACAACTACTACTACCACCACTACTACTACTACTACTACTACTACTACTACTACTACTACTTACTAGCGCCACCTACTGTATTCTGCTACTACTACCGCCGCCGTCCCACTTCACTATGGCCACGACGACGACGACTGCTGCTGCTGCTGCTGCTCCTACTTGCAACTGTTGACTGCCAATATCTTTGCCAGGGCTATTGCATGATATTGCATGCATGTTTTGTGTGTTTAATTGTGCTTGCATGTTATGCATGTTTGCTTGTTTTTTCTGGCTGTGGATGCGCATGATGTAAGTCTGAGTTCGTGCATGCTCGAGGGAGGGGAAGAGTGTACTTGGGGGTAAGCAGAAAGGCCACAAATGAAATTGATGCTCGTTGTCACACACTGGCGACTTGCGCAGCAAACGATATAGAGGCAAGAGCGGAGCCGCCAGCTTCATCTGCCGTGCCAGGCCTTTGACGAGGTCTTCCGCTTCTCAGGCAAGCTTCGTCAGATTTTGCAGATGCACGAATTGAAAGCCGCGGCATCCGCATGCAGACGTGCATGTGCTCAACCAGAGGTTTGTCGTTTGTCTGTTTGTCTGTTTGTTTGTCTGTCTGTCTGTCTGTCTGTCTGTCTGTCTGTCTGTCTGTCTGTCAAGACAGGGCCAAACTTCGCGCCTTTCGTCCAGACATTCATTACGCAGGTCATCTTACCAAAGAGCTGTAGTCTTACAGTGAGTTTGGTGTGTGAACGGTGCGTATAAATAGATAGATAAATAAATACATACATATATATATATATGTATGTATACATATATATATATATATAGAGAGAGAGAGAGAGACTTGCAGATACAAACAGACAGAAGTGCACACACGTAGGCAGACAACACAGATGAAGCCTCATGTGCAGCACTGATCTTTCATTTGACGCTCCATTTTCACACATGGCATTTCCGACGAGAGCATCGTTATAGAATCCGGTGCATCACTGTCCTTTCAGCCGGTCACGGCCAAAGCTTCAAAGACACCGTAGAAAGGCACTGCAGGTTGTGCACACACACACATATGTACATAATATATACTTGTATATATAACTATATATATATATATACACATACACACTCACACCAAGTTTATCCGCCCATCTACTTATCTGCCCGTCTGTCCATCTACATATACGTTTTCAAGCGGAAATGATTCAGTCCCACGTTTCTGTCAGCCTCTCCGACACACCGTCAAGCCTTTCGTGCTGGAAGGTTGCACAAGCTCAGAGCTTTCAGAAGCGGAGGCATGTGTGAACTCGGGCCCCTCGACAGACATCTGATTTGAGATGAGGGTTTAGGGTTTCGCGTTTAGGGGGGTTCTGAGCTCAGGTTTCGGATATGGAGTTCGGGTTGAGAGTTCTAGATGCCAGAATGATAAACTCCCGTGAGTATGCACATTAGACTTAGGTCAAGAATCCTGACAGAAAAGGCACACGAGTTCTTGCATGGCTTCCTTGATGGACTTTGGCCCGAGTTGGTGTGAGAGAGGGGCCCCGGCGGCTACGGCATGTCTGGCTTGGCATTCATACATGCTTGGTCGTTTCATGCTTCTGGTCCACGGCTCCGAAACAGCTTGGGCATAACTTCCGCAGTCACCCTAAGACCGTAAGCTTCAACGTCCCCAACTCAACCGGTGCAGACGGAGAGCAAGGGAACGGGTCCTTAAACCTAAACCAGCCCAAACCCTGTTGGTTTGATGGCTTTTGCATTAGGGGTTTCGGATCTCGGGCAGATCAGCCCTCAGGCATCACCAATGGCGTCCGGGTGCTGAAAAACAGGCGCATCTGGGGAAGAGCTGTCATCCTGGGCCATGAGAAGTGCTGCAGATAAGCCGATGAACTTCAGAGTCGAAAATTCGCGAAGCACCGAAGCACCCTATCTCAAGAATTCCCAGTACTTGGCTCCGAGCTGACCATGGCCTCACTTCAGCATGCCGTTCTCTCTCCTGTGTCTGCAGCAGTGGCAACAACATCCCGAGCCATTCTACTGCTTGTCCGATGACATGTGCACCTCTGAGCGACATCAGTCCTTTCATTTTCTGATTGGGACGAGTGTGTCATGCTTCTAACCACAATTTGTGCTAGATGCGACGGCATCTACTGCGCATGCATTGCAGCATCGGTCATGACTCTCCTCCTCAAGCTCCCCTCGGGTCAATCTTGTAAAGCCCCGAACCCGGAAACCCAGACGAGGTTCGCACCATGAGGCCTAGGCCAGGAGTCAGGAATCCGAACTACTTGCATCCCTGTCTAATCCGTGGCCACTATACACTGTATAGATGGATCTCTCTCTCTCTCTCTCTCTCTGTCTCTCTGTCTCCCCATATTTATTTATATATGTATACATGTACATGTATATTTATATGTATTCACATGCATACATGTACATAGTATAGACAAGCATCCCTGCACCCCAAACTCGAGTTTTCTGAGTTGCTCGCCAGGATTGGCCAGGCCATGGGCACCGGTGTCTGCTGTGGTCAAGAGACGAACAAGGCTGAGAATCCAAGAAGTCCAAACCCTGATTCGAGCTTGCTCGTTTCTGGGTACTTGTGGTTTCAATCAGCTCTAACCCTAAACATTCGGGGGCTTCGAGGATGAGTGCTTGGGAGCAGCTGCGGCTTATCTTTTGCAAGGTCGTTCTTGAATTGTCGGCTGGTGGCCTGTGCCTTCATGTGGATAGCTTTCAATGTTTCGTCACGACGTTGAGTGTGGCACTGGCACACGCTCCTGACTCTTCAGCAACTATTGGAAGCACTGCTATTATCTATTGCGGCCACTGAGTTCTCTATTGAAACATTATGAGGTCTATCCTGTAAACCGAAGCAGGCTCTATCTTAAGAATCGCCACACTTCTGGCCGGAGCCCTTAGTGCTCCAGAGAGAAGCTGCAGTGGCCTGCGGGCCGAATCTGTTTTACTGCCTCCTAGACTGAAAGCCTAATTCCCAACGGCCGGCTCACGCTCTCTTGCAAGGCGGTCATCAACAGAATTGAATGAGCGGCAGCAACAGAGCGGATTACAAAGCAGGGGCTCCCTTGACGAGTGGTCTCAGCCACGATCTACAGCACTCATCCACTAACCACTATCATATCAATTTCAGCTTTTCGCTTCTGGGCACGATTTCATCCACCAGCTGCGAGCACATGGATTGCGTAACAGTTGAAGACAGCACCAGCTGGACCCAACTCTGGTTAGCCCACGGCCTCAAATTTTGTAACGCTCGCCCATATCCGCATGGAAAGTCGGCAATGATACGATCACACACTGAAAGTAGCAATGAGAGTGTTTGCACGCGCAGGTTCTGACCGCCAAGCGGGTGCAGTGCGACGGCTATCTGGACATAGGGTTTGTTCGAAATCCGATGAGTCATCCCTAAACCCAAACCTTGAACCTTCGGCTCTAAGCCCCGAATCCTCAACTGCCTTGCACCCCAAACCCTGACCCCAAACCTTGAAGGAGACGAGGTCTTCATAGTTTCCAAGTGGTGGTTCCCTTATAGCTCGTATATACAACCGTACAAGATACCCCTAAACCCTGTTGAATTTTCCTACCTCAAAGCAGGTCTTGGCCTCGAAGTGCTTAGGGTTTGTTGGGGTTTGTGGGATTGAGATGGTTTGAGGTTGTGCGGTTTCGGGATTCAGGTTGTAAGGCTTATCTAAGCTTTAGCAGGTTTGGGTTCAGGCATTCCTGCAAGTCCACCGGGGTCATATGTCCCATGACCACGGACACTGCGGTTCCGAAGCGATCTTGAATCCTTGAAACCCATCCGGCCTGTTCTTTACCTTACCACGCGAGGACGATTACAATGTCATCAATGACAAATACCTCACGTCGACGCAGCCTGGCTGGAGCAATGTGTTTTTTCTGTTGGGTTTAGTCTGAAACCGTCAGTGGTCAGCACAGAGTTTGTAGTTAGTATCGCTCGCCACGATTGCTTGATCCTTCCTCTACATGTACACCAGTTCCTGAGCCACAAATCGCATAAGTCAAAGCTGAACCCTAAACCCCAAACCCCCGGCTTCAGGCCCAGTGACTTTAGAGAAGCAGCGAGTCTCAGCAGAGCTATCCCATCGCCTTTTGACACCTGCCCAGTGGATTTCGGGTATAAAGGTTCCTGGTCACTTTCTCGGACACACAGAGTTCGAATCACTTTTCACAAGATGTTCATCGCCAGTCGAGAGCTGCATTCCAGCAGCAGTTCCTAACGATCACGGCCTGAGTAGCCGTAGCATCAACGTGCTTGGAGTTAACCGCAAAAGTCAACAGCCCGGGCTTCGAACGCTAAGGCCGAGCGTCACAATTCCAAAACTCTCACCTGCGGACCCTGCACCTCTTGACACAGGAAGCTCCTGCGTCACACGACCTACCAGACCATGGAGGAAGCTCGCATGGCTTGTCTCAGGCCGTGGCTGGGGCTCGGGCGCAGGGATTTTGAATTGTGGGTGAAAGCTAAAATTTTGGGGCAAAGCATCGGATCTAGGATTCGTTTCCAGGATTCGGCCTGTCGAGGTGGCATTTTCTCTGTCTCTTCCCGCCAGCTTTTCAGGTTGTAGGCGCTTGTGAAAGGGCTCTGTCCAGCTAAGCGCTGTCCCTCCTGCCGGAGAAGGGCAAAAAACACGACAGCATTCGCCTTGTTTTTTTCCTAAATCCTCTCTACCATCATCCCTAAACCCTAAACCCTAAAAACCCTAAGCCCTATAAAGCCTAAACAGCCATGCCCTTCCCCGACAGGATGGGCCCGGCCTGCTGGGGCATCTCCGATGACAAGTGCCGAGCCCTGAGACGCTCCAACTTGCCCACTGCTGTGTGGACCCAAATCCAAAACCTTACAATGTAGCAACAGTAATACTAGTAGCAATACCCCTAACGTAGCAACAGTAATACTAGTAGTAATGATGCCTGTGGTAATAGTAATGGTAATAATACTAACAAGAATAGTCGTAATAATAGTAGTAATAATGCTGAGGGTTCGGGGTCATTGGGGTTAGAAAGTGCCAGCACAAGGTATTGCGTATGGGGTTTAGGGTTTAATTAGGGTACTATACAGGGTTGCTGTAAGTGACTATGAAGGAATCTGAGCAGCGGAGGCGACACCGTGAACTTCATGCTGGTGGATGCGAAGTGGAACATCACTGCGGACTCCTTGCTGGAGCCCCTCGCATTGCAGAAATGTTCCCAGCTCTGGTGGCCAGGATCTGTTCGCTTCCATTTGGTGGGGTTCTTGTATCGGTGTAACAGCGTCGGTGAAGAGCGTCTGAACTGCAAGGGCTTCCTGACCTGACACTTCGCTCCTACTTGAGGGACCGCAAAGTGCCATGAAGCACCCATCCGGACCGCCCCGGCACTGCCCAGTTCCAAGCAACACACCTGCCTCTACGAGAAGAGGAAGGCTTAATCTCGAGGTCCGACTCCGGCCTTAGATTTGAAGGGCGCATACTTGACTTGAGGATTTCAGGTGCACCAGTGCTTCGATGTCGTCTTGCAGAGCAGCCGCATGACTGTGTTTGTATGCATGGCCCACTCGATTTGATCCACCACTGTGTTGTGAGCTCGGACTTGGGCCATGATCCCCCACATGAACTCCTACGTAGCCACGATTGTCCCTGTTAGCCTCAGTGACTGCAAGAAACCAAAGCTTCCTGGCTGCTTCCATCCCTGGCAAGAAACCCACCGGCAACTGTTCTTCAACTGCCCTGGCTGGTTTCGATGTGAGCTCTGCCTGGGTCTGTAGGCAACGTAGGCTCCAGGTCTCCTGGTAGCATGGCCGCAATAGGATTTGCGATTTAGATTTGTGCCCGGTGTGCAGGCGTCGTGGCGCCTTGCTGCCGTTCCGATGGAAGAGGAATACTGCATGCCACGGCTTTTGGCCGAATGCAGACGAAAAGACGCATCAGGGATGGTGAGCAGAAGTCCCATGAGTTTACTTGTTCTGCATCGAGTATATGTATGAAGCACATAAAACTATGCAGATTGATTTATGTGTTTTTTTGTGTTTCTTCTTACAGCTCCTACATTTCTATACCTATATAATACCTATACCTATACACACATCTTAATGTATATCTATGTATATATGTACGTATACCAATATGTATACATAAGTGCTTTTGTAGTGCTTGTGTCTTCGCCTCCGATATCACGAGGCCGGACATTGAGCTGCATAGTGTTGGAGTCCTCGAGCCTCCCGTTTTTGCAGGCTGCATTCGCATGTTTCCTCAGACGCCTGTCGAAGGAGTGCCCGAGGGAGATCTTAGTTTAAGGGCAGGTGTGCCGCAGTGCCTGTAGACGAACCCAACGCCACACAGCTCTAAGGCAAAACATGATCTGTTAGGACCTCACTACGAAGACACACGTCAGACGGGTCAGGATCGATAGACTGTACAGTGTCAACCCCATGCCTTGTCTGTGGACATGGAAAACAGCCTCCCAGGGCACCAAGATCCTGTCTGGAGTCTAGATGCGGTTCTCGGCAAGAACCCTACTCTGGCATCATGATTATAAGCTTGCCAACCCTGTACCATGTGAGCTATATCGGACCATGAAGAGACAGAGAGCGACATTCGCGTCTGAGGCCCCTGGCATTGCAGAAACGACCCGGCTTGCCAACCAGAAGTGCCCCACCAAGAAGAACGATGCTTTTCTTGTTTTTTGGCGACCCTAATTGCATATCATTGAGTCGTTGATGTTGTCCTCAATAGTTCCATCGTCATCGATATCACCATCACCATCATCACCATGACCATCGCAACTGTCATCATCATCTCCACCATCGTCATAGTCATCACCATGGCTACCCAGCACCAGTACCAGCACCCAGCACCCAGCACGCACCCACCACCGCCACCCGCCACCACCATGACCGCCAGGACCACCACCCACCACCACCACCACCACTGCCACCGCCACCGCCACCGCCACCGCCACCGCCACCGCCACCACCACCGACTATCAGTGCTCTGACATTGACAGCTGCCTGTTGATATCTTGCTCTTCGCCGTGATTGGCACTGCTAGCTTCCTGTTTCTCTCCACATCGTCTGCTTGAGCTGCCATCGCCACCACCGGTATCATCAGCAACATTTTCGAGGTTGCAGCCACGCAAAGCTACGACGCGAATAAAGCGTAACAGCGGTGTACGCATTTGGCAGCTCAGATTGGGGAAGGTAGCCGGATTCTGGTGTAGGACTAGGAGGAAGAAGTCGATCCAGGTATTGGGGTATCTTATAAGAAGGACGATTATCAAGCAAACACTTTGGATAGGCTTTGATTTACAAGCGCTCCTTCTCACAGAAGTGAAAAGGAACCTTTAGTTCCAATGTGCACACACAGACAAAAGTGTTCGCAGACTGTAATGCATGGATCAAAAACCGAGCGGAACCAAACGCCGGAACCTAACAGCAATGGAATGGTTGAGCTCTCAGGTGTCCGAACGGAGATGTTGCGCAGCCCTCAATGATGCCTGCGGCAGCAGTTGCAGACTGACGCAGTTTCGGGCCGTGCTTCTCATGTGGCTATGGCTGCGACGTTCCATCTGTTTTGAGATGTACGGTGCGAGTCCATTTGCAGAGCGTTAATTAGTATTCCTGCGCCTGTGAAGGCATCTGCTCTCACTATTCTCACGGTGCACATGACATTCGAATGGAGGTTGTTCAGCTTAAAGCCCTGAGCCTAAGCCCCGAAAGCCGAAACTCAGAATGAAGATATCTAAATTTATTAGACTAGAGTTTTGGGGAGTTTTACATGATACTACAACTTTACTCGGGAATGTGTTACAAGTTCTTTAGGCACCCAGAACCCCCAAACCAAAGATCATAGATCCTTATGCAGGCCTTATAGATGCCTTAAAGGGGCCTTGTGGATTCCGTCATAATAAGGAACTCTCCAAGAAGCCCCAAACGGTCCGACTCTGAGATCTTTGACGGGCCGGACTCCACTGAGCTGCACCAAAAGTACTTCGAGCTCCTGGCTCGTGAGGCCTGGGCTCTTTTAGGGATCTAGGGTTTAGGGATTTCGGGATTTAGGGTGAAGAGGGTTTAGGGATTTAGGGATTTAGGGTTTAGGGGTTAGGGTTTCTTTGGGGAGTAGGTAAGGGGTTTCCTTTCGAGGGCAGGTTCGAGAAGGTTCTGTAGAGGGCGTTATTGGGACTTGGTGATCCGAACGAGCTTTTGGGGTACAGTATAGCATAGTTATATCACTACTTCTAGTCAGTCTTCTGATCTCGGTTGGACGGGTTTGGAGGTGGAGTTTGTGGATTTCCGTTCGGTGGAGTTGATTCACACCAGTTCTGTCGAATTCCTTCCGCTCTACAGCCCTCTGAAGTGCGTGCCCGCGCTTAGGATGTGCCGGTGCTATGTTTCGACTTAAAGAAATTGCTTGCACCCTCGGGTTCTAAACTGTTCGGGATATGCGAGGTGAGGACCACAAACACGGGAACGGGATTCGCGGATTGCTACCGGCGCAGCATCATGCAAGC